AAAAAAAAAAAATGTTATGGAGCCTAACTTGGAGGACTTAATTTTAAGTATATCGAGAGAAGACCTGCGGTAATTCTGCGGCACAGAGCATTAAGGAGGCTAATTCTCATGTTTGCTCATTTGTGTGTGGTGTTAATGCAAAGATGAAAAAAATTCCAGCATGCGGTGCTTAAGGAGGCAGGAAGGATGGTTAAAGCACACAAGTACTGGAGTACTAACACGAAGTTGATGTGACTCCACGGAACCCGTGACATGCGTTTCTGAGTGCTGTGCTGTCCTTCAGATGTTCTTGTTGCGTTTGTGCTTGCTGCTGGGGTCCCTACAGAGATTTAGGGTATGGACTCTTGCGTACACAGGACAACTGGTGTTAAGGGGCATTAGTCTTCCTTAATTTTGTACTTACATGCACCTGCAAGATCTGCACAGGAATAAAAGCTTTGCAGGTTTCCCAGTTAGAAATCGCTTGGTTTTGATCAGCTTCCTCTTTCTTACCTATGATACGTAGTCTTAGTTGTATCTAAAATCATCAACTTGTTTAAGCCATCTATTACTTCAGAAATGCAGTGTAAACTATAAACATTCAGTATAACAGCTGTAAGTGAAAAATGCTGACTTACACACTAACTCTTGCCTAGGATGCTTACTAGTGTAATTAAAAAAAAAAAAGAAAATCGGTTTGCCAGAGAACAAAGGGAATGTTGAGGCATTTACCCTCAGTGAAAGTAGTCAGAATTACACCATTGTTAGTGATGAGATATGCAAGTGTCAAATGAAACTGCATTCACGAAAACAAAAATAGAAAACAAATGTGCTACTAAATGATGGTCAAAGTTAGTGATTTTCAAGCTGTGGGCAAGATAACACTAGCTAGAGTGTACTTAAGGTTAAGAATTATAGACAAGTTGTAAACGTGAGTGGTGTTATTCGGCAGTAATTTACTAAATGTCATATACAAAGAAATGCCTCTCTCTTACTACTGAGAAGTATTTTGGAGACATTCAGGTCCTTGTGATAGTTTGAAAGTTGTAGCACTTCATAGTAGCTCTTTGTCAAAGCATGAAGATTGGATATATTTGGGTTCTGGAGACAGTTTGGGTCTCATACAGCACCCATGAAATACCTTTTAAATTTCCTGTTCAGCCTTTGTATTTAAACTATGAATTAAGTCTTTCTGTGTTTGCATGTTAGTTTATGAGGGTTTTTTTAATTAGTTGCTTCTGTCAAAATACAAATAAAGTGGGTAGATGTCAAAATGAATGACATAACACTTACCTTAAAGTGTGATCTATTTTGTAGCCTTAAATTGGAATGTGAGAAACTGGCAAGTGAAAAGACAGAAATGCAGAGGCACTATGTGATGGTAAGTATATTTGGTTTTTTTCTTTATTTCAATAAATATCTCCTAATACAATGTAAGCCAGCCTAAGAAAATAATGTATGCTCCTTTATTTGCAGTATTATGAAATGTCGTATGGATTAAACATTGAAATGCACAAACAGGTAAGGCATTTTGTTTTCTAAGCCACAAAATCTGCAGTCTGTCTAGTGCATTTAAATGTAGGTGTTCTGTTTATGTTCAGATGAGTGTATCATGTGTCTGAATCAATAGGCTGATTTGTAGCCATGGTTAGTAAACCTTTGCCTACCTGCTGTCAAATGAGGTATAGATTAGGTTGAGCAACAAGACTTTCTTGGTATTGGTCCTGAAAGACATTGGCAAAAATAGGACAGGTCTTGTGTCTGTGGTTTCAAAAATATAATTCAGTGCTTTACATGGGTTTTTTTTTGTTGGTGATAGAGCCTTTGATATGTAGGACTGGTCTTATGCGTGTGTAGCATATGTAGTGATAGTTGCTCAAATCCTTGCCATTTAAAGGTATGAAAAGATTAGTGACTTGGAAAGCTCTAGTTATGACTATAAGTTTGCAAGTTCCCATAAAATTCACACTTATGGCCACTATAATGGTGAATAAAAAGAGTATTGAACTGGAACAAGACACTAAGGACCTCATAAGAGAAGAAAAGCTAAATGATTGCTCAGCCCAGAGGACCCTCAATTGAGTGGTCATTGTCTGCCAAATAAAGCATTAATGGCAGGGTGTAAGTATTCTGTAGATATGCTGACATTCACTTTTTCATCAAGATGCTGGTACAATAAGTCTTTCAGAAATCGATGGCCTCTTAAAAAAAATTATCATTAGATGAAGTTGCACAGTTGGACACATTTCAAAGTGCAACAATACAATTCTTTCGTCATGTGTATGTGCTATTTCATCTGAAACTCTTGTTTCATTAAATTAAAGAGCATGGCTGACCGGCTAGGGCACAGCGAAGCAATTGATTAGTTCAGGCTTTGGATCTTCAGTATATTCAAAGACTTTCATTAAGCAAGTGAATCGCAGAGTTGAATTTTGCTTTTGTAACTCTGAAGTCTTTGATTTTTGTTTTGTTTTCCCCTAAAAATATTGCATTTGATAAGGTAGTATTGTAATTCCATTATAACTTTCTGTCTGCAAAGCGGGTAGGTATTGTCTTGGTTTTTCAAACGCTTGTTTGAATCCAAAATGCCAGTAAAAGAAGAAATATTATGACAACCTGATTTTTTTTAAGCAATGCACTGAATAGGTAGACAGAACAGCTAGAGTAGTGTTTGACTTGGTTCTGTCCAGTCTTCTTGTGTCTTGTGTTTTAGAACAACATCAGTTTTTTCTGTGAGGTGACATTTCCAGGCTTTGTGATTTGGAGACTTCTTTCTTGGATTTTTTTTTTCCTTCTCCTAAACACCTTTTTGGCATACTGTAACCTGTGAGGAAGCCAGCATTTATATAGGAGCCTCATTTGGTGCAAAATGGATGTTGTTTTCAGAAAATCTTTGAAGAGAACATGGGACTTAGTAAATGCACTAGGAATTAACTTTAGATAAAATCAATTAAGCCCACAAGATTAAAGAGTGTCAGAACTGAGGTTTTCACTTTGACCTTAACATCTGTGTATTGCGAGGTTTAATGTTCTGTATGTATGGCAACTATAATTACGTACCCAGTAGGCAGTGATACTTCGGAAGCTTTTAAGATTTATAGCAGAGCATTATACGTCTGTTGGTTCTAGCTGGGTAGAGTATAGCACACTTGCTCTGTGTACGCTGTTAGGAAAAGAGTAAGCTTTTGAAGGCATAAATACATTTCCCTGGGTAAGTCTCAGATACTATGCTTTTACAGGTTAAGTAATTCTAATTTCCAATAAAAGTAGCACCTTCTTGTTAAAGACTCTTGATTTAGATGCCTGCAATGAAGATGCCAAATGGTGTTGCAGTTCAGAATGTAGGTGGTCTTAGTTTTTTTGTTTCCTGTAATCTACCAATGACATTCTTCTGAATTTCTGCTGCTAACGATAAGTTCTGAGGAGGCTTTTGGCAGATAATAATCATAATTCTTATTAAAACTGGTGACGTCTAGCCCCAAGGGTGTAGCCAAGCTCAAATTGATGCTTTTTGCTGGCTGATCACCAGCATGGCCTAAGTGCTCATTATGTTGTAGAGAGGGCCTTTGGAGCTCTCATTACGTTTGACAGGAATTCTCTCTAGGGGGAAACTGGGCATTAGCTAGACTCCTGACAGGCTGAAATTATTCCTGCTTCATGGCTTATAACCAAATGCTAGCAAGGCATCATCAGGGGACACAAAAAATTGTCATTTCTGACAACATCTTTGTTACTGAAAAATGCAGTGATGGGGAAACTTTCCACTGAACAAGCTTTAACGTTTTTAAGGCCTGCCTCCTATGTGGATGCTGCATTCAGTCTATGTGAAGCCCTTCAGAGAGCTTGGGCTGCTGATTGAAAACCAAAAAAATTACAGTGCAGCAGTGTTTCTTTATGCGATGTGGTGCATACATCGCTGTTAAGGTAGAGTCACTTTGATAAAATGAAGTAGTTGCAGTTTGCCTGCATATGAAACGGTTGATTTCTTGTACGGATACAGTTGCATCAGCAGTTCCCTCTTCATTTGACTTGGTAATCTATTACAATTTGACTAAACCAAAGTTAGTCAGGATGTGAATGTTGCTATAAACAGACTTAATTGAGGTGAACTTTCCACACACAAACAGCTGTACTGCAGAGCTTTCCACTTGAATATGTTGTGTTTGAGTCCAGAAATGGCCACGATAAGGCTTCCTTCACAACTTTAGCTTTGGCAGTTTGCAGTGTTTAATTGTGTAACTGTGTGCTTAAATCCAGGTACTGCTGCTGCATTTCATCCTGCTGGCTAAACAGCGGTCAGAAAATCTTTTTGGCATATTTGTGGCTGTGTGTGGGTTCGGGTTTTTTTTTTGTTTTGTTTTGTTTCTGTGTGTTTTTTTTTTTTTTTTTTAGGAGGATGTTGTGTGTGGATTCTTACACAGTTTTCAGAGGTAATTAGTTTAAGGTGAATAGTTACTAAGGTTTGCAAACCTGAAACAGAAACAAGCACCTGAGGATTTGTTTAGGGTAGATGCACTTGATTCAGATATCATTTTCATATGTGTCAAGAAGACAGATTGAATAAGGATGTTTTGTGTGGTCTTAAGTTTCTCTTCTGTGTTATATGGTCCAGGTCAGATTTTTCCCACTGTGACATCCTTGGCTGGCAAAGCAGATGCATCAACTGTTAGTGCCAAGATGTAGAGTTGGTTGGGTGTTAAAAATCACACTGTACTTAAAGGGTTGCTGCCCTTGGCTATTCGGGCAGCACCTCTTTATTTTCACCAGCTCTGTCTGTCATCTTCTGTCATAAGTCAGAAGATAAGGCTTCCTGTGTTTTTAATGCCTAGATTGTTTAGGTGCAAGATTAGCTTTTGTTCAGTGGCAGGCAGCCAAAGAAAGAAAAATTCATCACTGCTGAACCAACTGACAAGACTATATAAACTACTACAGTATGTGGGTTTCTGCTATCCCAACAGTGACAGCTAGGTTTCCCTCTCTTTGGGTGGGTTATTGTGATCTCTGTGACCTGCCTGGAGGCAGACCTGTCATTCAGTACCTTGCTTCTTGTAGAAGAGTATAAAACTCCCAAACTGCATTATGTTAACCAATTGTACAAGTGTGTCCTGGTTTCAGCTGGGATAGAGTGAATTTTCTTCCTAGTAGCTGGCATAGTGCTGTGTTTTGGATTTAGTAGGAGAAGAATGTTGATAACACACCGATGTTTTAGTTGTTGCTAAGTACTGCTTATGCTAGTCAAGGACTTTTCAGCTTCCCATGCTTTGCCAGGTGCACAAGAAACTGGGAGGGGGCACAGGCAGAACAGTTGATCCAAACTGACCAAGGGGCTATTCCATACCATATGACATCACGCTCAGGATAGAAACTGGGTGGGGTTGGCCAGGGAGCAGCGATCGCTGCTCAGGAACTCTCTGGATATCAGTCGGTGGGTGGTGAGCAATTGCATTGTGTATCACTTGCTTTGTATATTATTATTGTTATTATCATTATTACATTGTTATTATTATCATTACTATTTTACTTTATTTGAATTATTAAACTGTTCTTATCTCACCCCAGGAGTGTTTCTCACTCTTACTCCTCCGATTCTCTCCCCCATCCCATCGGGGTAGGGGAAGTGAGTGAGTGGCTGCGTGGTGCTTAGTTGCTGGCTGGGGCTAAACCACGACAAAGCGTTAAATGTCTGTTTTAGCCTGGACTGTTTTGTGGAATCATTTCTAATGCTCTACAGCAAAGGACAGAATCTTCTATGGATTCATTAGAATATCAGTCTTCAAGAGTGGGTTAAATAGAAGAGAATTAACGAGCTTAGTTAGCTCTCTACAGCTCCTGAGTAGGATGGCTGTGCTGTTGAAACGGATTTAAAGAAAAATTAATTTTTTTTTTCCTACTTGCATTTTAGTTATTGGAATGAAAAACTTCAGGAATCCTTAGGGTTTTGGTGGTGTGCTGTGGGTGTTTCAAGAGCATTTTACCATCGGCACTGCCACAAAAGACATGCAAAACCTGGCTTTATTTAAAAGAGAAAATGGTAAGGTTGATTGGGACATAGTATTTTTCACTCCAAAAATTTTACTTATTCTACAAATACTTGGTTTCTAAATGAGTACAGTTGTGTAACCAGTGCAGCCATTTCAACCACAGCTAGAGTTGCCAGTTTGAACGGGGAGGAAAGGCTAGAGTAATGACCTCAATTTTCTCGACTTTTGAACCACATTCAAGCTCGAGACCAGCATTATTGTTAAAGAGTTATCTGACAGATTCAGGACACTGTGTGAAATACGTCTCCATGCGGCTTTTAGATAACCATATTGTCAGATACCATCTATTATGTCAACTCCATATACAACTTAATCTGAAAGTATGTCACAGTGTAAACACTGTACATATGTTAAATACTGCCTGATCATCTTGCATTTTAGACTTTGTCTACCAGATTTCAGGTTCCTCACAGAACCCTGGAGTGAGAGAGAAAACATTCCTACCAGCTACATTGTTAAACTTCCCTTGCATTGCTGGAA